CACACACACACACACACACACACACACACACACACACACTGTATGATAATAAAACCTTGCAGATTAGAAAAGTTCTGACTCAGTCGTAATCTACAAGTACAAATAAACATAAATGGTATGGATAGATTTTGCCCATTGAATTTAAAGTCTACTAAAACAAAGTATGTTAAATCAAAGTTTTACAACTACTAGAATAAACAGAATCAACAAATTGCTTAGCTGTATGTGACGGTGTTTGCCATCAGACTGAACTATAATAAATGAAGAAAGGGCTGAAGAATGTTTCATAACTTAGATGTGACCACTGAGGAGTCAGGTACAAGGCAGATAAACAAACAAATAAATAACACAAGTGTTAATTTGACAGTGTCCATGAGTAAAGTACTTATCCATCATTGTTGCACTAGACAGGCAAGTGATGCTGAGATGCGGTTCTATAGTCAACTCCAATAATGGTGACATTTAAACCATTTTGCACTAGCTGCCCATATCTGAGTGTTAACATTATTAAAAAGACTGAATATTCAATGGTGACCCAGTAGGAGTTGAATGCACATGAGCTTTCATTGTCCTTCATGCACAAATGCATACATGTATGCATGTGTGGGAAGGGATACTGGATACTGAACACAGTGAAGTGCAATTGACTCTTCTTTTTTTTTTGTCTCTGAATTCAGGGATCATAACTATCCAGGTCCAGATTATACTTGGTACCATGGATAAGGGGAGTAAACCAATGACAAACTAGATTATAAATTAAGGTGGTGTTCTTTAACTGCAATTTAAACCATAGTACTTGTTGGGACAATATGCTAAACTCAACCACAGTACATTTCCTTATTTAAGGAACGAGATTCGCCTTTAGGTGTTACATCCTTCTACATATGACAAGGGCTCCAGCTGCAGCTATTAAATACTGAGTCTGCCTGTAATAAAACCTTTCTAACGCATGATTTAATTATGGACGAGAAGACAGACTTGGCTTGTATTACTGAAACCTGGGTGGGGAAGATAAATGGGAGTTCCTCTTTTGGAAAGCTGCCTGAGTAGGTTTGAGGTTTCGCATTAGCCAAAGGGTTAGGGTTAGTCAAAGCGAGGAGGGGGTTGCTGTTGGCATCCATAATATTCTGCTGGCATCAAGAGGTGCTGCTTTGCAGATAAATAGATATGAGACTTTGTGCATCTGGACAAGAGGAGCCATTATCTTGGTGGTTTTTATACTACTACTCCTATTTGCACAGCAGCATCCATGCTAATCAGCCTGAGTTTTCCCAAGTGGTTCAATGTGCTTTCCCTTTGTAAAGAGTCTACAGCAGTCCAAGACTACATGGATCCCAGGACAACTATAGACCTGATCCAACTTATTGAGCAGTTAATGTATATAAAGGCAGATGTGACATAATTTGAAAATGGTAGGTAAATTGAGGACCCAGTTTGTGGGGGCAATAAGCTGACTTTGTATAAATATACAAAAGTATGAAGGCTATTGCTTAACGCATTGTAAGCCGCCCTGAGTCTCCGGAGAAGGGCGGCATATAAATCAAATTTTAAAAAAAGAAAATGGGAGGCACGGATCTTTGCTTCTTATCATGGCCCACTCATTCTGTTTCCTGTAAAGTTCAAAAATCTATTGCAGTTAATTGGATTACTGAAGAGCTCGGGAAGATAAAGAAGTGGAGGAAACATCTAGAACACCACTGGTTCTAGAGCAGTGGTTCTCAACCTGTGGGTCGGGACCCCTTTGGGGGTCGAACGACCCTTTCACAGGGGTCGCCTAAGACCATCCAAAAACACATATTTTCAATGGTTTTAGGAATAATTTTATGGTTGGGGGTCACCACAACATGAGGGACTGTATTAAAGGGTCGCGGCATTAGGAAGGTTGAGACCCACTGTTCTAGAGCATCAAGTCCAACCAGATAATTGTATGAGCTCATGTTTGAGCCCAAACAGTAGCACTGGTCAAAGCTGTCTAGTGGCCTTTTAGTCTCATTCCATTTTAGGAAAAAAATATATGCCAAGACCACCAGAAAGACTATTGTGAAGAATTCTCATAGCATTCGACAGATAAAACTACCCATATTCTAGGGGAGCTGGACTCTCCCTGGATAACACCAATGGAGATGTTATGTTTATGTTTATTATATTTGTATACCGCCCTTCTCCCGAAGGACTTGGGGCAGTGAACAGCCAGCAGATAAAATACAAAAAATACAAAATTTAAAACAATATTAAAATCCAATTAAATTAATTTGGCCCACAGTTAAAACCCCTATATTAAAACCCATAATTTAACAATTTAAAATTAAAACAATTTAAAAAAAGTTAGGTCAGGTCAGCCCGGCTTGATGAAACAGAAACGTCTTTAGGGCACGGCGGAAAGTGCGCAGATGACTGGGACCACGTCTTGTAAAATTATCTGAGATTATTTTGAGTCTGTAAATCCCAAGGAAGTAGATAGGTTTCTTTGCAGTTTTAGCTCGGCTGCTTCTTAGTTGGATTAGGGATTTCCAAAAAGACATCTAATTTGCTTTAATGAATATACTAAGGTATTCGTGCTGCATAAACCACTAACAAAAAGTGAAAGGACTGATTCTCGGTTTAATAAAGACTCAAACGACCATTACGCAAACAACCAGCTGCAGTTTCCCCATTATCAGTGAAGAGCGCCTATGTCTTAGAGCTGTGAGAAAGAAAGTTTCTGTGTAATATAGTCAGGCCTGCAAGAAAAATTCTAATATATTCTAACATATATTAGTTCTAAATTAGTAATACTTCATGTCCTATAATTCTAGTAATGTTATTCCTTTAATTTTAATCTTTCTTAAAAGAATTTGTGAGAATTATGCTTGGAGGAAAAGAAGTTTTGGTTTAGAGAGCTGCAAAAGACCTGACAACATGGATGCACAGGGTTATATCACCTGTCTACTGAAAAAGATGCACGATGAGCAGTAAACAACAATTAAAGTGAAACAGTTCAAAAGTAGTGTCTCTCCCTTCCACCCCCACCCCGTGTGTGTGTGCGTGTATGTGTGTGTGTATATGTGTGTATCATTTATTTGATTTATGTAAACTGGAATTAATATTTCTGGAAGAAAAAATGGCAATCTCATATATGTTGCTTATAACATTTTGACAGCTGGAAATGAGGAAGACTTAACAAATCTCATGCTAAAGATGAAAGAAGACAATACCAAAAGCCAGATACTGCTCAGTAGATGCCTACTACTTGAAAGGAAGTCTAGACAGAAGACAAATCTAAACAGAATATTAAAGCACAGAGATATCAAAATGATATCAAGGTAGTACGGTTCAGACCAGGGTTGAAATTTAAAAAATTTCCCTACTGGTTCTGCGGGCGTGGCTTGGTGGGCGTGGCAGGGGAAGGATACTGCAAAATCTCCATTCCCACCACACTCCAGGGGAAGAATATTGCAAAATCTCCATTTCCAACCCACTCCAGGGGAAGGATATTGCAAAATCTCCATTCCCAACCCACTCTGGGGCTAGCCAGAGGTGGTATTTGCCAAACTACTTGAGTATTTCTCCGAACTACTCAAAATTTCCACTACCGGTTCTCCAGAACCTGTTAGAACCTGCTGGATTTCACCCCTGGTTCCGACTAAGATTCTCCCAGTGGCAGCATCTTACTGTAAAAGTTGGACCACCAGAAAAGAGGAATGAAAAAAATAAAAGACATATTTGAATTGTGCCTGGAGAAAAATATTGTAAATATATTGTTGACAAGAAGAATCAATTATTCATAATCACATGGAATAGTGTCAGCCTGCTCACCGGAAGCCCTATTAATGAAGCTAAAACTCACAATAAATATTTTGGGCACATTATGCAAGAGCAGCACTCTCTGGAGAAGGCCCTGATGCTTAAAAAAAACAAAACCAAGACCATCAGAAAATCAAAGTGACCAAGTACCATCACTGATGAAACCAGAAGGACCTTACAAGTACTCAAAGACGCAATTACTGACAATCCCGGTAAAATGAGGTCCACTGGATCACACACAAAAAAAATCAGAAGTGATTGCAAATTACTTATGGAAGATTTTGCTGATTGTCCCAACATCTATAATCAAAGTGAACTCTTTAGTGCACATACAGTCTACAGGCCACTAAATAAGGACTATCAACTACAGGTATTCTTATTTAGCCACCACAACTGAGGCAAGGCACTTCAGGCTAGTCTGTGGTTATTTCAAACAGCCACTTCTGTTTGCAATTTCACAGTGGAAGAAAAAAAAGGCAGCAAGTGAGAACGCCCTCCAGGTTTTCTGCACTTTTAATAATCCAATGTCACCCAAGCAATTAAAAAAAAAATGCCTCCAGAGTTCAACAAACAAATGTTGGCCACCCAAACCACCTGGTCATATTTGATTATTTGCTGTGCACAAAGATGAATTAAACTAACTAGAGAAAGAGATCACTCAATTGAGTATGTTGTGTATAATGTATCTTGTAAAGGCTGAGGCTGGTAAATAGGAACCAGCATTTCCCAAGCTGGAGAAAGCTGTTACGTAAACTTATCTGAGAAACCTACCAAGGATCCATTAATTTGAAATGGTGGGAAGGAGGAATCTTAAAAGTTTTCTATCCCCCCCTCCCCCAATTTCTATTCTATTCTAGTGTCTTGAGATTTCCTAGTAGTCTCTCAGGCATATTACAAAAGATGTAAGAACCTAATTTTACAATAACTAGTATTACAAAGTCATGCATCATTTTTGTAAGTTTTATTTTAGCACGCTAACAAAAGCATAGCTAGAGAGAAAACATTAAATTACTTATTCACCAGTTTCCTGGTGAAATCAATAATTATTCAGAGAAGATAGTTTTTTTCCTGCATGTAACAGGTTTGGGCATTTTTAATTTTAATGAGTACTTAACCCCTGACAAGGGTTTTTGTTTTAAAAAAGCTTACAGCTCCTTACATTTCAAGGTTTAGCAATATAAAAGAATAAATAAATAAATGGAATAACCCAAGGACTCTTCACAGAGTTATCTTTTATTAATGAGACTTAGCATTAATGGCATCTTCTGCTAATAATATGGTTACATTCAAATATATAAATTTGTAATATTTATATAAGAGTGACTACATTTAACACTGAATAGAGTATTTGTTTTTGTTCTTCTTCTTCCTAGCGTATTCCCGCAAGTGCAAGGTCCGCTTTTCGGATCATTGAAAGCCACTTTGCACAATCAGCTGCATCTCCAGGGATATATGCAGGTCCATGACTTGCATATCTTTGTTGATAGTGTCTTGCCATCTGTTTTGGACGCCCGCAAGGCTTGCCAGCCATTGACTTCTAGTTGGTAGGTGGAAGGTGCTGCTCTCAGGACATGATGTTCATACCAGCGGAGCGGCCTTCTCTCATCTTCTGTCATGCCCCTGTTGGAGTCTGAATCTGAGACGAAGACAAACAGCTGAGAGAGAGAGCAGGAGAGTGGCACTATTGGCTGTGGAGGAAACTGGGGAAGGGCAAAGTCAGGCTGGGCAGAGCAGGGAAGAGGTAGAACAAGGAAGAGAGGGTTTAGATGAAGACCAAGGCCCACTTCCTCTTCATCCTAGGGCATGCAGGGAAGAACGCAGAAGAGAGCAACGTGGGTTGTGTGACTTACAAGGACGGAGAGGGCCCCAATTCCCTTCACAAGGCACACCTGGGGATGAAGTTTAAAGGAGAGGCAGTTGGGAGGGGCATTTGTTGGGAACAAACATTGAATTCATCTAGTTTTGAGAGTTGTGGCCTGCATTCCTGGCATTCCTCCTGACTGTTTGAATTAGGGTCGTGCTTCTTGTTCTGCTGGAATTATTCTTCACTTCTGGGACTTCCAAAGTCAATGGAAGAAGCCAGTTTTGCTTAACAGTTTTGCTTAAAGAAGCCAGTTTTGCTTAACACCTTATTCTCTCAGTAACTGTAGTGATTCACTTAACCATGACCAAAAAAAAGTCATAAAACTTACTTAAAAACCACCTTGCTTAATAATGGAAATCCTGGTCCTAATTCTGGTAAGTCAAAAACTACTTGTATTGGAAATAAAGTCCAGAGAAATAAGTATTCTACCTATATTACAGTTCAGGATGTATTACAAGCTTGAGATCCACTTTTTCATCCAGAACTTGGATGAGTATTAACTTTGCAGAATAACTAGTATTTGTCTTGAGTCTTGAGCTGATAACTTCAATAAATTCAATAAATTACAACTAAAACAACTTAATGTTAAAGTCTCCGCTTTATTGTAAATTATTTTTTTAATGTTAATAAAAACTAGATAAGCAAAGTAAATCTTAAGAAAAAGACTACTGGGCTTTCTAATCTCTTCCTTTTTATACATCTCCCAATTTTCAAGGTAAACTTCAGCAACTTTTAAGAAGTTTAAGTTCAATTCCCAGCTCCTCATGCTGGCTGGGGAATTTTTGGAATTGGAAGTCCACAGATCCTTAAAAAATACTGAAATTGAAAAACATCATCGTAGAAAAACATCATTTAGGCCCCCTTAAAATCCAGGCTGTAAGCCACCATATTAGCCCCGCTGCGTGATGTAAAGTTCGCCATACTCCTGTCAACTCAACATCTCATTCTCCGTCCCATAGAGACAGACGAAGTCGGCCTTCCACGCATGCGTGGAGCTACGTTTCCTAAGCAACCGCTTCTTTCAACTTATTCAAGGGCCTAAAAGAGCAGATGCGCTAGTTCCGGTTTCCCCCTCTGCCACTCCGCCCCGCGCAGGCTACGGAAGCCGTTGGTAGCCAGGCTAGTGAATAAGGAACGACTTTTTGGCGCACGCGCGCTTGCCTAGCCTAGCCTCACCTAGAGGGGGTGTGGGTGAAAGAAAGAAAAAAAAGCGAATAGTAAGCGGAACCGGAAGCGGTGTGTGGCGAGACCAAACGGTTTAATTACACCCGCCCCTCCACCTTTTTTTTTTTCACATGTTTAGCCGCGTTTCCCTTTTTCCGGCCTCCTCGCGCCCAGAGTGCCTGTTATTGGAGGCGTAACCGTCCCCCTCGCGCCCCCCCCTCCCAAGAGAGAGAGAGAGAGAGAGACAGCGGCCTAACCGTCGATTCCGCCGCCGCCCTTTTCCGCTGCAACCCCGCCCCGCCCCTTTCGCCCGAGTGGTACCGTGGCCTTTGGCGCCGAGTCCCGGTCAGGGCGGCCGCCGCTATGTCCGACAAGGAGTTCATGTGGGCCCTCAAAAACGGCGACCTGGACGAGGTGAAAGACTACGTGGCTAAGGTAAGGTGAGAGAAGCCGGACTAGGAAGGCCCGAGGCTGGGGATAGTTTTGTCCCTTTTGAGGCGGCGGGGTGGGGGTTTCCCTCTCTTTCTCTCTCTCTCACACCCATTCCAGGCGGTGTTTTCCCCTCATAGAAGGCCAAGGTGGGACTCGGGCCTGCCTGGAGGCGCCTTCTGCTCGGGCGAATGGGTGGGCGCGAGGCCTCCTTAGTGGCCCACCGCTTTTCTCGCGCCCGAGGCGGGGGTCTTGGATGACGTCACTGGGAGGGCTCTGAATCTTGGCAGTGATTTCACTTGGAGGGGGGCTCGTCCAGATAAGCGCCCCCCCCCGGGAAGAAGCGGCCTTGAAAGATGGTCGCGCGGCTCGAGGGAAAACGGCCGGTCCACGCCCACCTTCCTTCCTTCCTTCCTTCGCCTCCGTTGAGGTGTGTCGGCTGTCATTCACACGCTCTCCCAGCGATTAACCGGGGTCTTCAAAGGCTGGTTCGGTTGGTTGGTCTCATAGTGCCTGGGGCAGAAGTATTAGCGCATCCCTACTCTTTAATTGGGGCTGCAGCCACACCCTTCTTCTAAATTATAATTCGTTTACAGGCATGCCCGTCTGCTGATTTGCATTTGAATCTAAATACTGAATCCCCCTCCCCAAAAAAACAAAAAGTCACAAATATGAAAAAGACAGGCTCCGAGGTGCAACTTCCTGTTAAGTTTGTTGCTTTAATGAATTGAAGGTGATGAAGTAGAAATGGGAGAGGAGAAGGGATTAAAATAACTTTCAATCCTTTCCAAGGTAGGTAAAATGAGGACCCGGTTTGTGGGGGCAATAAGCTGACTTTGTATAAAATATACAAAGTATGAAGGCTATTGCTTAACGCCTTGTAAGCCGCCCTGAGTCTCCGGAGAAGGGCGGCATATAAATCAAAATTTTTTAAAAAAACTTCCCTTCGTTTAGATAAGCCGTTAAAGAGTACTAAGGGTTAAATTAATCCCCTTTAAATGCATTGGTAATGCATTTGCTGTGTGATAGAACAAAGTTTTTATTTTCTGTTTCTCTTACAATCTCCATTGAGCACCAAATCTGTATGATTAGTGGAGGGGAAGGAGCAGAATGGCATGCACTGTTCAATAGAAAGACAGAAGACAACATATTAGAAGGAATCCACTACTGTGTTGCTTTTCTATTTATGGTGACCAGTGGTGGGTTCCTGCCGGTGCTCCCCGATTCGGGAGAGCAGGTAGCGGAAATCTTCATAGGAGAGCGAACCGGTTCACTTTGAATGTCAGTTGGGCCCTCCTGCCTCCGCACTATACCTACCTTTATTTCTTTTGTTTGGTCTGCTGTGAGGCGCAGCAGAGTGTATTGTCATGCCTCAGCTGTTTTTTTAATGTGCTTGCGCGAAGCGCAAGTTCGGTGCGCATGCGAGCCAAGCGAGCATGCACGCGGCGATCACGCGCAAAGCGTGTGTGCAATGTGAACCGGTGGTAAAACTGATTAGAACCCACCACTGATGGTGACCAAACCAATCTGCACAGATTTTAATTTCTGTCAAGCAGTACTGAGTAGCTGAGTCAGCAAACAGTTTCCTAATTAGAAAAAGATAGTTGAAAGAGTTACTGATTTTCCACCTGTGGCTTCAAAACTTTGAGTAGCCTTGGATTATTTCCCAACTCCAAGTGTTTATCAGTGAAATTGCATTGTTAAGTCCTTCTAGCTATTAACTCATGAGAGAAACTAGTTTTTTAAAAGTACTTTGAACTTCAGAATTGCAGTTAATCGAAAGGTTACCCACCTGTAGGACGATTGAGGCTGGAGAAGGCAAGGCTTTATGTTTTAAAAAGATGGGAGACAGTAATGTTTAGAAGGCTTTAATAGTCTTCCAAAGGTCCATAGGGAAGTCAGTCTGATCACAATTGGGGAATTATTCCATGGCTGGACTATCTAATCTTGAGTCCTTACATTCTGGAAGTGTGGAATCACAAGTGGCTGTTCACAGAAGATATGACAGGTTGGACTGATGTAAATTGAGTAAAGGCAATACATGAAGAATTTATGGATTATAGATTAATGCAAGAACCTTAAATTATACTCACAAATTTACCAGTGAGCACTGCACAGCCCACAGAATTGGTGTTATATGTTCTCAGCAATATTCTTCAAAGGCAGCCCTATTCAAAGTACATTGCAGTAATCCAATGGGGTGGTAATGGGACATGAATCATTGTAGCTAGGTCAGCCTGCATCACATACAGCTATCCTCACTTACCAACTGCTTAGGACTATTTGAAGTTACAATGGCACTGAAAAAATTATAACCAGTCCTCATACTTAACAGTTGTAGCATCCCAGTGGTCATGTGATTGAGATTTAGACACTTTGCAATTGGCAAGTATTTATGTCACGTAACCTCATTTGTGTGTTTCAGTACCAGCTTCTGATAAGCAGTCAGTAGAGAAGCTGGTCACAAGTTGAAATCACATGATGTCTTGCTTAATGACTGTAGCAGAAGTGAGGTTGTAAGCCTGTCTCAGTCACCTGTTGTCCACTTAGCAACCTTGTTCAGTCACAGTTGTTATGTGAGGACTACCTGTAGGGGAGTAATTGATCGCCAGATGAATCTGGGCAAAGCTCCCGTAGCCATAGCTTTCATCGGCTGTTTTTGCCAGCTGGAGTTGTTTGTCCTAGACAAACCTGCTCTTTCAAAAAGCATACCTGCCCCTTTAGCACTGCAATTGATAGAAAATCCCAGGGTATAAATCGTAACTACATCTATTATCTTATTGGGATTTAGTTTGGTTTGTATGTCCCATTCAGACACTTACAGATTACAAACATTAAAACTGGAAATTGACATCATCTCCCTTACAGTCTGAACTGTTGTTATAAATGTGGATGTTATCAGCATATTGATACCTCAAATTATATTACGTCACCCAAATGGATATGAAATTAAAAGTCCAAGCTGAAGAGGAATCATAGTTTTATGTTCATTTGGTACTAGTTTACTAGTCTCAGTGAGATCCATTGTGATACGTTATGTTAGAATAGGCCCTCTGAAATTTTACTTAGCAGCATTGACTCTTAATATGTAGCTTTGCTGATCTCTTATTCAGTAGTACCTGCTGTTCTTTCCAGTAGTTTTCTCCAAGCATCCAACTCCTCCAAATATTCTTTCTGAGAGCAATGCTTTGTGCAAATATATACTATAAAATATAGTATATAATGCAAAGACCACTCGATTAGATGGCCATTCCCCGTCTACATTTTTGTCTTTTAAAAACTTAGAATTTTGTATTTTTGACAAGTAAAATGATTATGGTCACAGTATGATGTAGTCCCATCCTTACCATTTTTAAAAGCCCTTTTAAGTCATATTTTTATATCAAAATAATTTAAGATAAATTAATGAATTCCATTCAATTTTTATTGCTTCTGAAACATTTTTTTCTTACTATGTACCGTGTTACTGTGTGAAAGGAAGGGTTAATATTGATTTTAAAAGAGCCTTTAAATGGATTGAATGAGAGAGAAGATGTATTATTGTATTGCTTTTTAGGGTAGGCGGGTGTCATCCCACCAAAAAGTATGCATATAGCAGTCTCAAGGGATGAAGGCATTTGTACTGATGAATATTTTGTAGTAGTTTGATTGAATTCAGTTTTCAGAAAATAATTTACTTGAACAATAGGGAAATGCAAAAGGCAGAGTCAAAAGCAAAGATATCTGGCTTTGTTTAATAATCACAAGGAAAAGTAATAAGCATTTTAAATTATAAAGTTACTGTCACACAATTAAATGATTTATCAGTCCATTTATTCATTGTGCTTTTTAATGGACTGATCCCAGAGTGCATTGAATGGATTAAGACAAACATCTAATTCCCTATTACAGTTTGAGATGGCAACTGAACAGAAGAATTTAAATGATCGAGAGTATTATTTGGGATATGAAGCAGAGTAACTACATTATCTATAATCCTTTGAATTCCTATAAAAAGTATGTTTATCAGTTCTAGAACTTTGAGTCAAAAAAAGTAATTACCATTATTGCTTCAATGAGTTTTAGTTCTGTCCTCTGTTAATGAAGGAGCACATTGAAAAGTATATTGTAAGCAATTGCTATGTTCCTGGAAAGTAGCCATTGCTTAACATAGAGGAATGTTAGAGGAGATCATATTATCTGGAAATGCTAAAATCTTTAGATTGATTTATTTATATATATTTATTTAGATTTATTTATATATATATATATCTTTAGATTATAAATTATTTCATTGTTAAGCATTTATATAAAAAGCTGTGACTCTGCACAACTGTTGTAGTTTGTGTATGTCACTACAATTTTGAGTGGACACGCTACAAGAAGAAAGGAACAAGTTTCTATCAAGGGTTACTTATTTTTCAATATTATGCACCTAAATACTATTTGGTGGAACAACCAGTTTCACGCCTTTGTGTGTTTTTCAGTAATGGCTAGATAACTAAAATTATCCAGGTATAAGATGAAAGAGCTCTTCTGGTGGCAACACATAACATAAATACTAGGCTGAGAACGACATCCGTACTTCAGAACTCCTAATAATAATAAACCTTCAGGATATATTCAGGTTTTGACTAGAATTTTGCATTTGCTTGGAATTAAATAGCCTACTGAGAGCATTCAATGAGAATTTTTATTTGGTCAGTATTGCAGTGGAACAAAATTTCAACTATTCCAGGTATTTTGAGTTCTGATGGAGAAAAAATGAAACACTGTGTCTGTTCTACCATAAGAAATAATGGCAATTCAAAATAATTCCCTAATGTACAAAGGAATATAAGGTTATAGCCCATATTGAATTTTACCTAGATAACTGCCTAGAGCAAACTTGGCCCTGCAGATTATTTTAAAATATATTTGAGTAGCAAACATTGGAAATAACAGTTACCAGAAATCTCTGAACCCAACAAATAATTCATTTTACTCATTTCACTACAGCATAATATAATGAAAGCAAAAATGTACTTGTTTGCTTTGATATTTGTTACTGTACATGAAATGGATATTGGACAATAATGTTCATATTTTTTGGAAAATAGATGGTTTAAGAGAGGAGTGAAGGAATCTATTTATGCCAAAGTGAATTTTTTTTCCTTCAATAGAGGTGGAGGCTTCAGATATAACCTGTCCCCCATTTTTTATGCTGCTGTTTCATCAGTCCCCAAGGTTAAGACCGCTTCACAGGTTTACCAGGAAGCCTACACACTTAACAACCCACCTAGGGTATAGGATTTAGGAATTGAAACATTTACATCTTAACAACTTTCTGCCTACTCACCTAACAAGCCTATCCAGATTAGATGAGAAATGAAACTTCCCTGGAGGGCATATATGGGGTCTCTCTAACAACTTGCTCAGACTGAAGAAGCTACTTAGATAAACTGAAATGTTTTGAATCAACAAGAAAAGTCTAGTTGCCATGACTGAACTTCCAGACTACTGACCTCCATGTTATGACTGGTTGAAATAAAAGATATTTTACCAAAGGATAATTAACTTTTTCTTTTTTAATTCTAAAGGGTGAAGATGTTAACCGAACATTGGAAGGTGGGAGAAAACCTCTTCACTATGCAGCAGATTGTGGACAGCTTGAGATTCTGGAGTTTCTTCTACTAAAGGGAGCTGATATTAATGTATGTTGAATAAAATCATTCAGGCAATATAATAGATAAATGTATCTATTAGATTAAGACAGATAGCTGTTTTAAATGCATAAAATGGGATGCATATATAGTTACCCTTGGCATAAGTGTTAATTTTGTTGTTGCAATGTTGTACTGGACGGGGGAAAAACAGCTGTATTAGGGAAGAGGGTACTTGTCCTTTCCCTGACAATGGGTTTTTCGCTGCAACTTCCCCTGCCAAAGTCCTATTTAAATAATTTTGCTCAAGTATCTTAAAACACTTTGAAGACTTTCTATAGGGATGGATAATATTTGTAGCAAAAGGAATTCTTATTTGTCAGTCCTCTTCTAGCAATATCCTGATCCAAATTTTAAGTAAATATTGTAGATAAAGAAATTTTTGTAGAAGTAAAGATCATTTCTACTTGCTTGCTTCACATTCTCACTGTTGACTTACATTTTAGCAAAGTGTAACCTGCCAATAATTTGATATTTGCATGTATCAATTTGGCTTGCTTTTTTACAGCTTTATTTTTTTCTTTTTATAGGCTCCAGATAAACACAGCATCACTCCACTTCTTTCAGCAGTTTATGAAGATCACATGTCCTGTGTGAAATTACTTCTGTCAAAGGTGAGAATATGTGATAGTATCATTCTGACAATTGTACTAACTTAGTAAATTTCATTTTTCAAGATGTTTTTGTCAGACGTTCTGGAGTAGATATCAGAAATAAATTCAGATAGACCAAAGAAGTAGGGTGAGAAAGGAAAGAAGAAAGCATTTAATGAAGTACAGAGCTTCTGAAATGTTTGAGAATAATAAGATTTGGTCTTTAGAATCCCTTTTTATTAGTCATTGACTTGAGCTATTGTATGTATAACATAAAGTTTAGTGTAGTTATTTTATTCTACTGTAAAATTATTTAGCTACTTTAGCTGTGAATGGTTATTCATGTTGATATTGTCAATTAAACAACTATAAGCAAATAGGAAAAATCCTGTTAAATATAAATGTTACAAAACTTAAGGTATTTTGGAAAATATTGTTTTAAAGATTTTTAGCTCAAATATATTTTTATACAAAGAGAGGCCAATGTAGTAACTTTACACTGTTTCAGTTTCAAGCATGAGTCCCATTTGTATACATCCACTTTTCAAAGGAAAAAACTTCATATGGCAAGATGGCATGATTTCATTTTCTGTTGTAATAAAAATCTTAATTTCATAGTTAAATATCTAACTCTACAAATATTGAATTCAGTATACTGGAAAGAAAAGATTAGTTTCTTTCAACATGGCTTCTTTTTCAAGTAGTTTAGAAGCAGGCATTTAAGACAGATACTGTTTCTCACGCTGTTCTTTTTTGCTGTTTTAAATTATTTCTGTTAGATACACAGAGAAAGAGAGAGAGAAAGAGAACAACGAATGTCCAAATTGTGATCATGTGGCCTTGGGGTGGTGTGATCATCATAATTTCAAGGACATTATTTTTTAAATTATTTTTTCTGACACCATTGTAACATCAAACCATTATTAAACAGTCATACATTGGTGGTCATTAAATGAATCTGGCTTCCTCCATTGACGTTGCTTGTTGGAAAGTGCCTGAGAAGGTTACAAATAGCTCCAATCATTGTAAATACATGCCAGTGGCCAAGCACTTGAATTTTTATCACGAGACAACAAGGACACCAAAATGGTCATAAATACAAGGATCAGTTGTAAGTCACTTTTTTCAGTGCCACCAAGTCTCGCTCTTCAGTGTCATTTGAACTGTAAGGAGTTGTGAAGCAGGCTGTGGTGTACCTTCTCAAGTTATCATTGGATTCATTGGTCCTTTGTGATGACTTGAGTATCCCTGTGCAGTCTCCAGCCTATCTTTTTAAGGCATGTTGGTAGAGAGGGTGGTCTGGCCCAGCTCCAGAGTAGGAAATGGATCTTTTGGACACTTTTCACTTGGACTTCAGGCCACAGTTTGATACAAAGACATCATTACATATGTTACACATTCAATAACTGTGCATAATCAATGTTTCCTCTAGTCTCACTTTTTTATGCTGCAAGTACAGCTGCAGCAAAGTTGTGTCCTTACTTAGTCTGGGAAGCCTTTGAGACATTCATGCCCCATGATTGGGTTACTGTAATGTGCTGTTTTTGAGCCCTCAAAGACCATCTCTTAGATGGTGTTCTGTTCTCTCTAGAATCATCACGGAATCAGGCAGCCTGGCAATTTTTTAGATAAATATGCTGTTTACATTGTGGAATGACCAAGAATTAGTATCTACATTAATGAATGATATGGTTATTTTGCTTGGTAATTCATATTGAAAAATATATGGATAGGCACACTATTACAATAAAGACCCTATTGACGGTATGAAGCAATATTTTTTTTACCTTTGTTCAGCACCATTGTGTAAGTTCTGGAAACTAAAAGAGCTAGCAGGCTGATTGCATAGATGATCACTTGGAGAATCAGGTATATAACAAAGAAGTTTGTTTTTCCTAAAGTGACAGTTCTTATCTTTTTACAGGGTGCTGATAAGACTGTGAAAGGGCCAGATGGACTAACTGCCTTTGAAGCCACTGACAATCAGGCAATCAAAGCTCTTCTTCAGTGACTGATGGACTGAGATCTAATGTCTCTCCTGTGGCCTCACACTGCTGCCTGTCTATCACTCTTTGTATCTTCCAGCTTCTTCAGCTAAATATTGGAGAGGGAGGAAAAAACACAGTAAATCAGTCTAGTTAGGTACCTCTATCAAAAAGAGAACATGTTTGGAGAGTAGAAATACATATAATTGGTGTCTCTTTAGGACTTTTTACCCTGAACTATTTTCCCCATTTCTAGCAAAAGTATACTTATGCTGTGGAAGGGGAGAAGAATGTGGTCTGTAATGTAGCTTGTAAATGACTTGCTGAAAGTTTGTAAAATGGAAACTCTGTTCTTTATTTTCTAATATGTAAAAGCAATTAGCAGCCCAGCACTGTTGTACCGACACTTAACAAGCAAGGCAATGGGATAGCTTTTCTGTAGTTCTGTCCCTGTGCCTTAAATAGATTATGTAATGCTGAAGGGTTTTGCTGATAATGTCCCAGTATTTAATAATTTAATGCCATTATTAACAAGGAACAAATAATACAAGCAGGGCAAATCTCCAGCAGAGGTGCTGAAAGAATGATTAAAATCATGGGTTTTCTACCTTCCAAGATGCAAACCAATTACTTCTGGAATAGAGCTTTTGAAAAACTTCTAATTAGAATGCCCTTCCCTAGAACATTGTAAAATACATTGGAACTAAGTGACTGTTCCAGAACTGTTGGCACTAGAAAATTGTAGCTTTGCCTTCACAGTTTAAATTCAAAATACCCTAATAAAATGACTCAAATTAACTTTGTTTTAAAGAAGGAAGGAGCTTCTATTCTCTTAGCATCATCCTTGCCACATTAATCTGGTTAAATGCATGTATCTTTGAAAGGGGATTTGATTTACTATTAAGCCATTGCATCAGACAATGATCAAAAGTATATACAATAGTCCTGAACAAATGACAGGTTGCATCTACTGCCCAGTAACAGATTATGGTTTATACAAGTAATTTCAAAAGTCTTCAGTGCAGCGCTTTAAAAATATTCACAAGTAAGGATTTGTAGTATGCTAATACCTTGATTGGGATGCTAGGTCAAATAGCATTTAGATATTCTTATTGAAAAAAGTCAATTCATTTTCTATCATAATATTAAAAACCTCCCACTGAGATATTTATTGGCTTTGAACAAGGTGTGCAGTGCAATGTTGACTGTCATCTAGGAAGTTCTGGTGTCTAGCACATTTCAACAAATGAATGTAGCTTTTCAGTTTTAAAACATTTAACATTTACTATTGTACCATCCTCTCATCAGAAAAAAAGAAAGTGGGGAAATGGACTTGTTAAGCAATGTTAATATTGCATCTTAAATTGTATCTTATTTGTCCCTTATCACAGATATCACTTGTTATACTCAGATCGGTTATCCAGCATCCATGGGGAATAAACTTTATTCTCCAAAGATTGTTTTAAAAGTAGATCTATGTAATATATTTTTGTATTGGTGCAGAAATGTGATATAAAAATAATAAACTTTGCATGCACAGTCTACATAATCACATTTTCACCTTTTTGTGCTATGGTAAACTGAAAGATATTAATCCAATAAATTGAATTTCAGATTAATTTTAAAATTAAACATATTTTGTCCTAATCGGCATGGCCTAGTTGACATTTGCCCTGAAGGGATATGAAATATTATCATTCTATTCTAGTGAAGCATAAATTATGATTATCATTTGTTCAAATGTTTCTTCCGTTCTCTCTCTCTCTCTCTCTCTCTCTCTCTCTCTCTCTCTCTCTCTCCCCCCCCTCCTCCCTCTCTCTCCCCCTCCTCCCCTCTCTCCTTCATCAGATATGATGGAGCATTTGTGCCTCTTCCTGCCCACTTTTTTTTGCTCTTTGCTCATGTTTTCCTTGCACATCTACAGGTAGATTCCAATGAATAACACCTATCTTATACTTATTTGTTTGGGGTTATTAAATATATATTTGCCCTTTCTCTGCTATTCATTTAAGAAATCAAGCTAATTTTAGGGGTTTTTTTTCCTTTTATTTGTACTAAGATGTGGTTTATAGTCTAAAATTGTTGCCAGTAACTGATGATATTAACTCTTGGTGAACACTCTTGAAGTATCCCATCCCAATCCCCACTTAAGGGAATCATCGGCACTAGTTAGCAATCTAGAAATCAGTGCAGTATCAGTCTCCTTCATTTCTGATTTCTGTTTAGGATGATTTGCCGGTTTAAAACTTTCTGCTCCTCTTTGTTATAGGCATTGCTTTCATGACTTGGTTTTTGTTCTTCAGTACAGTACTAAGTAGATGAATTGATCAATAGAAGAAGCTGGTAAGAATAGAATGTCCTAGTTGAGCAATTCCAGTGTTGCATGCAGAATCTTCAACTGAACAGTCTTATATTTTATAAATGGGGAAAACAATCATCTTTCTACTCCAGTGATGGGGGAAAAATAGTGCTTTGTGCATTTTGATATTTGACTTTTTTTCCACAATGTAACCATTTTGAGAACAGTTTGATTTATCATAATCATGGTTCATAGACATCAGACTGCTAAATGATACAGTGTTTGTGTTGCAGGAATGAATGGAATAAACTTGAATTGTGTTATAGAAAAATCAATATTTTTGTTACCTCTCTATCCTTTCTATATTCCTTTCTCTGTAGTCTTGCACATGCAAAATAATGCTTTGTAACATTTTACAAAGCAATTTATAAATCCTGTATGGGACTACAGCTATTCAACTGCACTTGAATTGTTAAACTATTTGTAGTTCTCAAGTTTTTGGAAAGTTAATCTTTATTAAGAAACCTGTGGGATGGTGTTAAAAACAGACAATTTTAGCTTCTGACGGTGATACCTAATCATCTTAAAGAATAGATGAAAGAAGCAAAATATTAGCCGTTTCCATATCACAAATTTCTAAGAGGCACTCATTAATCTAGCCCAGGGGTCCCCAGAATTTTTAGCTCATCCACCCTTTCACAAAGTTTCAAATTGTTCAACAACTCCCAAATATTTATTACATGAAAATCATTTAAGTACTTTAATACAAGTAGTACTCAACTTACAACCACAATTGAATTCCATTGCTAAGCAAGGTGGTTGTTAAATGAATTTTGTCCAATTTTATAACTTTGTTTACAATGGTGGTTAAGTGAATCACCACAATTGTTAAGTGAATCATACGGTTCTTAAGCGAATCTGGCTTCTCCCATTGACATTGCTTGTCAGAAGCCAGCTGGGAAGGTGACAAATGGTGATCATGTGACGTCAGAACCCCTGCAACTGTCGTGAACACATGCCAGTTAAGTGTCCAAATTTTGATCACATGACTAAGAGGATGCTGTGTGAGGACGAGTTTTTTCAGAGCCATTGTACCTTTGAACAACTAAACAAATCAATGACTACTGGTTGTACCATAAAGAACAACGATAACATCAAAATTGATAATTAAAATGTGAAAAATAGAATATTTAACATACTTTTTTCACTGAAATGGTATTAATTGGAAAGATGCATCTGATAGAGTCAACAAGGACACTGACATTTGGTTGGAGATTGGGGAGGTGGGAGAGTACACTGAGAAGTAAACAGAAATACTACACTTACATTTATCCTTCCCTGAAAGGAAGATGAGAAAGGGGAGGGTGAAAGGTCACATACACATACAATGCAAAGCGTGCTGGTAAACAAAGCCATTAAACAACACATTGCTGATAGAAACAACTTAAGGTCACTTTTACTGGCAGTTGACCACCCAGCCATGGAAGCTGACATGGAGTTCTTCAGAGATTCCAAATGATTAATTGACCTCTATTGACCTATCCTTTATTGACTCCCTTTTGACCTCTTGCCATTTATTGAACTCTTGGATAGTCCCATCAACCCTGGGGAAGGGGAGGGTGATATTAAGCCCTTTGGGGAACTCTGATCCAGCACAACCTAGTCTCAGTTACAAGCCTACTGTATTACAGTTTTGTCATTTTGGCTATTTCTGTCTTAAGCGATGCAGGAATTCTATTTCTAAATTGATTATGGTGAAATCTTTGAAAACTGGCAAGATAAATGGCTTTCTGCCATCCCTCTTTTCATTCTATTTATCCAGTTATTTGTTCATAAAATAAATGTGGCAGCATCTAAATGTCCAGTTATTTACGGACATTTATGGACTTTATTTAGATGCTACCCCATTTTAGTTTATGAACAAATATTCAAAGTGAATCCCAAATAGCAAACTTGAATCAAACACTTCAATATTGTACCAAGGTTGATTCATACAGGTTTACTCTAAATAGTTTGAAAGTGTGTTGGTGAGATCATTTAGGCTAGATGGGTTAAAAATTGTGTCTGAGTTAATACATTATGCTGAAATTTAGAGTTTCAAAGGGAGTTTTCTAATGCAAATACAGCTCTGGCTGTGTTTTTTCTTTATTCTAATGTAGAGGTAGGATATCTGACAAAAAAAACACTCTGCCTTATAATGATGTTATAATAACATAGCCCATGAGTTTTATGGTGTCTGAAATTTTATGTTTTATCTGATAATTTGGGTACATAAATATATACTGCAATCCCATGGGGCTATTAAAAAGCAGTACTCTGAAAACAGACATAAAAATTTAGCCAAAAAGCTGAGTTTTTTTTTCCTGAATTTTCAATCAGTTTAGAAACTGAAATGAGGGCTTCTGGGTGGAGGAAAATGGCAGACTGATGCATCTCCAAAAAATGGGGACGGTGTTGAAGTGACATCAAGCTCTGCCCAAGGAGAAGCCAAGGATAATGCCCACATGTGCTCTGGAAGACAACTTGCAAGGAAACCAGGCTGCAGGAATCTTTTGTCTACAGCAGTGGGAGCCTAGGAAGAAGTACCACATATTTTTTGTTGAAAATGATTATAAGCGATTTGGATGATTTTTTTTTTTTTTTTGCTTTTGTTAATTAAAAAGAGTTAAGTATGAGGAGAGAGGAAATATGTATGAAATTCTAAAGGAATGGTTGAAGAACCAAGTTTTCCAAGATCCTTCTAAATACCACCAGAATGGAAGCCATCCAGATTTTAGGGAAAACTCATTCCAGAGTTTAGCCATGGTGACTGAGAAGATGCACTTCTGGGTTCCCAACAGACAGCAATGTTTAAACAAGGAACTCAGAGGTCACCATCTCTGCTGGATTGAATTAGCCAGTTAAATACTATGGGAGACTAGTATTCCCTCAAGTAAGTAGACCCCATGTCAAGTAATAACCAGCACCCAGAAGCAACCAGGCAACAAATATAGCTCAGAGTAGAAATGTTTCATAGTTTATACAAAACATGTTATCACTGCACATGCTGTTGCATTCTGGACCAGTTGAACCTTCTGGGAAGTGTTCAAGGCAGTCTTATGTAGAGTTTGTTGCCATACTCAAGACACAAAGTCACCAGTACATGACTGAATGGCCTTCCGATACAGGAAAAGGTGCAACTAGTGAACCAGAAGAAGCTATGTACAGGAATGACGAGCTGGTAGTGATTTCAATAGTGAGAGCTATATTGATATTTTGCACAGTGGAATGTACTAAAATAACTAAATCATTAGATTGCAACAGAGGTGTCAAACTCTATTTCATTGAGGGCTGCATAAGGCTTGTGTTTGATCTTGGGGGGGCGGGGGGCGTGGCCAGCTCAACATCACTCGTGTCGGGAGCGCCTGTGGTAGCCAGAGTGCTCTGCTAGCGAAACCAGGCTCCTGAACTCTGTTTTCAGCTGCAATGGCCTCCTGCAACCCGCTGCCAGCAAAAACGGAGTTTGGGAGTCTACCCGCAGCCCTTGCAAGCTCTGTTTTCAGCTGCAACTGCCTCCTGCAACCCTCTGCCAGTGAAAATGGAGTTCTGGCAAAAACCCCGTGAGCCGGTCCTTCACTGTTTCCAGGGTGGCCCTGCGAGCCAGATCTAAGCACCCGCAGGCCAAATCCAGCCCCCAGGCCTTGAGTTTGACACCCCTGGATTACAACCTTATCTTTCTATTATTATTTTTCTTGAAAGAGAAAATCATGTCACTATAATTTACTACACAGATTTTGGGTCCTCTGGGGTCTCTTAAAAAAAAAATCTGGGAGGCTACTGGTGAAGGGGATTGCCTATTATTAATTATTCGAAATCAGGGTTTTTCAAACATAGTATATTTAAAATATGTGGACATCAATTCTCAGAATTCCCCAGACAGCATGGAGAATTTTATACACATCTTCAAGTTGCCAAATTAGAAAAGCATTGTTCTAGATGATTGCATTAACTCAAGAAGTATAATTGAAGTGCATTTTCTTGAAACCAGAAGACCATGGAACTTCATATACTGTGCTTTTGGCATGTGCATTTCCTAAAGTTGTAGATGAAAAGAGATAACTGAAATTTATATTACATTTAGAGAAACTTTCTTCAGCCTAGTTTCTTATTTCCACAGCTTATGTTTAATATACTTGCTTTTATGCAAGCCAAAACTATTTATTCTTATTTCATAATATTGAGGTATCACAAAGTCATGGCATAATGCTGTTTTATAATTTCGTCTTACAATGGAGAGAAAAACATATCCTTTTGCAATATCCTGTTGCTTGTAATTAATCTAATCTAACCTGTCAAGGCAGGAACAAGGGTACTAATTTATATTTCCCCCCCATAATTATCTTTAGTCCTTTGTCGAATAGAGCTTGCTTTTAATAACTTGTCCATACTGTCAAAAATATGCTGAGATTAACAAACACATAGGAAAAATAACTGGCATTCCTCATCCATTAAGTTTCTCCTCACAATTTATCTGTTAATATTATAGCAGACATGGTTACTTGCAACAAAAGGAAGTAACAGGAAAATTTGGGCTATCTGCAAAGAACAGTATGGATGCTGAAATTGTTTAAGCTTTTCTTCTCCCTGGCTTAATATATGTCAGGGAAGCCATATACCTGTATATTTAAGGAGAAATATATATATAGAGAGAGAGAGTATGTGTAATAATGTAGGTGCAAATTTGCATCTATCAAATATGTGGTCTTAATCTATACTAACAAAGATAATAATCTTATTATATTGGAGTTCTGTGTCCAGTTCTGGGCCTCGTAATGTAAGAAAGTCATGGAGAAGTTGAAGAGACCAAGCCTTCTGCAGAAGAATGGAGAAGACTGAAGGAGAAATGATATTGATCCTCAAATATCTGAAAGACTGTTGGGTGTAAACTGAAGCAGCCAGGATCTCTGTCGAAACTAACAGTATGTAAGATAAGGGGCCATAGATGGAAATCAAAACACAAAGATTCAGCAGAATATTGGGTGGACTCCTTTCATGGCATACAGTAGAACAATCTGCTTAGAATAGGTGAGCTTTATGCTGGAGGCTTTTAAACCAAGAATGGAGGACCATCAGGAAAGGCGTAGTAAAGTTTGAAATTCTATAGTGAGGTTAGTTTAGATAATCTGTAAGTGCCTTCCATTTTCTATATTATATTGTACCACAATAAAGATATTAAAGCTTTCTAGCTTTTTCTTTGTTTGCTACTCAGCCTGATTTCTACTCAGAATACTCCCAAATTATGGCAAAGCCTCCAGTTTTCAACAGCATGAATGTTTGATTTATAAGATGCCTTC